GATTGCTCGTTTCAAAAGACCAACTCAATCCTACTCTTTCTGGCCGCTGTTCCACATACACACACACACACACACACACACACACACAAACCACGTCTACAAACGATTGGATCAGTTTGATCGACTCGGCCTTGAAATCGAATGAACAGTAGTTCAACGGGTGTCTTACATCGTACGCAGTTTTCTCAATGTAACCATATCCATCCAGTTACACTTTCTTCACCTCCACCCCGCTCGCTCTCTTGTTCACTGGCTAATCTCGCATCGTGTTTAACCATCCACGTTGATTAATTTACAAACCTTTGTGCTAACTGGTTTGCAGACCGTTCGTTCCCATTCTCAGTCGGTTCTTCTTTTCTCCATTTTTCCTTCCAACCACCCCTCCCCTGTTCCCTCCTGGCCCTCGTGTTCACAGGTCGATCGTGCCGGGAATGTGAGCGGTTGCTATCAGAGTCAAGTGAGTGTATTGTTCTATTCTATCTCTAGTTAGTTGTTTTCTATGGTTTGCCTTGCTCTAACACATACACACAACAAATATTTCATTGTTTCTGAGGTCAATCATTAGGAAAACTAAAAGATAGAAATACCCAATAAGGGTATGACTCCCCATCTGCCGAGTATCTCCTTTTCCCGGCCACACGGACTTTCCCGATTCATTATCTAAACAAATGAATAGAAATTTGCGTTGTTCCCATTTCTGATTATCCATTTTGACAAGTGATACACTGCGATCTGAATTGGCTCTATTCGGAGCGATCGATTGTATTGGTTCACAAGAGTAATCCGATCTTTTGGATGTGTTGTTCTTGTTGTTTTAATTCTTAAAGCATGCTTTTAACGAGTTAGACTAGGGTCAAATGGGACACAACGTCATCTTTCGAGGTTTCTTTAGGGAACCGACAACAACCACATCAACACATGACTGATATTCAGGTTTACGGCACTTTGTCATTCATTATCGCTTACGAGCGACACACACACACGCACACACGTGCGTGTAAACGCATCGCGAATACCGCTGAGCAGCTTCAATGTTTTGAGCGGGAAATAGACCAAGCGGAACACGTTAGGGTGTTAACTGTGAGAAAAAGTCAATCCCCGGGAACCGGATGGGCGTGAGTGAAAAATGTAAAATTGATGCATACACGTTGGAATGGAGGGGGGGGGAGGAGGGCAAACTAAGTGTCTTAATCTCACTACGCAATTTATACCTGAGGGCTCATTCGTTGATCTTTTGATTAGTGAGTACCGTTCATCGGGCACTGGAATGGTCGCTCTTATCCCATGATTCATAGGACTTCTTCAAATGGGACCCATATACATATTTTCGAGGTCGGTAACATTACTTGACCACGGTGCCCCCGGAAACTATAGTTAGTATGCTTCTTGTTCGGCAGTTTAGGTCTCGATACATTTCAATACTGATGGCTCACCGAACCTGGTCTTCTTCCCGATGTTCCCTCAGTCACCCCCCGCAGTTAGGATATAACCCAGGTTGTTGGTAGGGACTGCCTGGAGCTCACTTTCCTCTGGGGATCATTTATGCGATACGGACAATCGAGGTCATCGTGGAAATGGCGACCGGAATACCTGATGCTTTTGCAAATGTGCTAGCGTGTTTTTGTGTCCAAATATGTATGGATATTGTTTGATTTCAATCGGCACAGAGTGAGCTGAACATCCGTGAATGTTTTTACTCTGTGATTGAAATATGAGGAACCGAGTTCGGTTTCTTAATCTTTTTAATAGTAATAATAATTCCTTTTTATTCAATAAATGCACAGTGGTGCAGCCAATTTTCAGGAATTGGGAGTGTAATTAATCAGAAGCAATTCTGTGTCAGCTGAAAGGGAGAACGTTGAATAGCGGTGGTGGGATTCGAAAATATGGCCTCTGAGTTGCCGAAATGATAACCTTAACTGGTGAACTAACGACACTGTTGATGCCCCTCGTAATTGATCTGCAATTGTGATCCTGCAGGAAAAACGTCATGTCCAGCACATGCGGCCCTCATCACTGTATTCACACATCGATCAGGTCGCATTCACTTTGAGACTTTGAAAAAAGAAAAAGAAACAGGTTTCATTATGCGTCAGACATAATCAGACTTGAAAATTGTCATTTATTTCTCGAGGTGCACTGATCTTGAGAGAGAGCTGATTCATGTGTTGACTGCAGTCCTGTTCTTCTGCTGCCACTGCCCTCCCAGCCACCTGTCCTGTCTCTGTTGACAACACTTCTTATTTTCCGTTTTGGTCTAGTGGTCATCGTTCTGATGACGAAGCGTCATCTGCTCCTGATGGAAACGAATGACTATATGTTTTCATTTTGATTATGGTTATCGTTGTTGTCGTTGTTGTTATTGTTGAACGCTGTCTGCTCAATTTAATTGAATGCCATAAGCGTGCGCACTCGTGCTGTCACTATTCCCTTTTATTATGCTGATTGAGGCAAACTAGGCTCTACCCGTTCATTGGCGTCCCGTAACAAATTAAACATATAACAGGCTATGTCTAACCGGGTGATGAAATTTGTGAAAGGTGCGAGCTCTGATCACGCGCATCTCCATCGTTCCTTTCTCTCTCTCTCTCTCTCTCCCCTACTCTGATGAATTGTACTGATGTATTTTACTTTCTCTGCATCCCCGTCTCTCACATTGATGAAACTGATGGAGTATATCGTAAGTCGGATCTACCCGCCTGCCACATACGATCATCACGTTCCGACTGACCGGTTGGCAAACAGCAGCGCTTAATGACTGCGTTGAAGAAACATGAAGAAACATGCCTAACACAAGGCGTGTTAGGCATGTTTCTTCATTTTTCTGGCGTTTGTGAAGGCCGCAATGGCATTCGGACTTCCCAGCGGGCCCTGCCAACCGAATTCCTCATCTCCGGTTCCGTACTTGTCACTCTCACTCTAACGTTTGTATTGGAAAATTGTTGACCTTTTCGGTTAGACCATTGACCACGGACGCTCCCTTCGCCCGTTCGTTCGTTCGTTCTAAACACACATACACACACGCACATGACAGTTAATATAGTGCATTCACCCAGTGACCAACCGTTTTGGCTTTCGAATATGATTACGAGGCGGCATTGTCTCGGCTCATTATCTCTCGCNCTTCTGATACATCTTGCCAGTCATGGCTACAGCTATATCCGGCCCCCCCCCCCCTCGTAATTGATAGGCCGTGCAGATGAATCAATACAATGTGAACGTGGTAGTGACTCATTCACCACAAACAGAGAAACCCACTGTCCAGTGCGTGTCACTAATCCATCCGCAAACTTACCTTTCACCCATCATACGTACTACTTACCCTCTTACTGACATCTTACATCGGCTTGCTTCCTACTGCTACTGTCCAACTTTTCCCGAAGTTCCGAGGTGCCTAGACTTCCATCCGCGCAAACGCGTACTGTCGGTCCATTATTGTCTGTGATTAGACATCAACCCATTTGTCACTTTGCTCATCAGGGGCGGGGGTTGGTTTTACGTCTATCGTTCTGTTCTGTCTCTTTACACCACTTCCTCTTTACCTCACAGAACCATCTATCTTACCCCGCTCTGTTGTTTTTTATGAAATGTACAAATAGACAGGCAGATATGTTGGCATATCCATCACTCCTGGTTGGGCTGTGTTTTCCTCCTGCATACACACACACACACACACACACACACACACAACCTCAGAATTCGCCTCTGTCATTGAGGTCACCACTTTCTAACGCGTATGTTGAACAATAACACTGCCCATTTCTTCCACCATCTAACTGAACTCAAGAGAAATGAGCTTGTCGAGACCACGTGAACACAAAATGCAAATGATCAACACACGAGCCTTACTATTATTGTCACACTGTTCATCAACACTTCACAAAAGTGTGCTCTGCCGTTGAGCCCGGTAAAACCTGCCTTGTTTGTGGAGATTTCATCAACAATACTATTGATTTAACGTCCAACAGCTAAGTGGTTTCAGTTACAGTTTCACCTGCGTGATGCTCTATTTCATCTGCATTCCCAGTTTAGAATTAAAGGGATGGCGTTTCCAGTGGAGCTTTTTCGGTGGGTTTTTGTAGGGCCATAATTAGTGACTAACTCTGTTCAGTTCTCATTTTCTATCTTGTCTATATATTGTGTAAGATAATGCGGTGGTGCTCAAGCTATTCAGTCCGCGATTGCATTGGCCCCCTGTTTTATACGTTCGAATCTGATCATCTCCTTTCCTGACTTATGCCTATCCCCCCCACCACTCCACATCGCATTTTTTATTTATCAAATGAGCAGACTAAACGAGAGAATAATAATAATAATATTATCTGAGCCGCTTATACAAGTCATCTATCACTGTTGAGGAGGTAAACATGCATAAAAAAATTTGCATTAACTATCTTAAGACTAGAATGGAAGATACGTAAAACACTTCACGTGTATGCACTGCACAAGTTTCTATTTATTTCACAATTTCCCCAGAGGCTGCAATTGTTTGACCGTCATTATTTTCCATACATGGCTTCAACCATACCGTTTTTTATCAACTGTATTGAATCGCGTTTTTTTTGTGCGGATGAGTTGTGTCATTCCTCAGCTAATATTTCTCACTGCCCCCATTTCTATTCAACTCCTGCTTTGCCCACACGTATCACACTTTCAGCCGGTTGACGGAAATGCTCCCGATGTTGACTGTCGCACGTCCGAAGGTGATCGCGTATTGATTGGTCGCCTGCGTTTGACCGATGCAGATGCTCCACCTAACTCCGGTCCGTTCACGTGCCAGTTGACGCATTCAGGTGCAATTCAGCTGACCGGGGACTCGTCACGTGCTGGTGCCCTATTCTCCGTTCGGAATACTTCTTCCGGTCCATCCGGGCAATCGGACGACGCAGACAACAGTCCGATAGTGCCCAACGGGAATTATTCAACCGGAGAGTGTTTATTGTACGCAGTCGATCGTCTTCCGGTAAGTACATTTGTCACGTCGACTCGGTTTTCCTATTTGACTGCGCGTCATCCTGTGGCCTCAATCGAACGAGTGCGGTAAGCAGCACCAAATGAGCGCAGGTTACGAGCCACGTGTGAAAACAAGGTGTGGGCCTATCACAGAGCACGCATTCCCCGCAGGCTTGCATCATGAGCTTGTGCCGTTTGTTGTTCAGTCAGGTCAAACCACCCTAACACGGACTCGAAGGGATTCACATTTGAGATTTCACGCTGCACTTTCTGTCCGTTTGTGTGTTTGCTTTTGATCCCGTTGTTACATGGGTCTCAAGCATCCTGTCGTGTTCTCTCTCTCTCCGACACATCACATGCACCACTTTCCGATCGAAATGTGTCGTCCTCATCAGTAGGTTTATTGTTTTCTGTGCTTCCGATGGGGATATACATCGTCTGCGTGAAATATTTCATCATCTCTTCTTCCCATCGATTTTGGGCGTGTGATGGTTGACGAAGGGTGCTCATTCGTCCTTGTTTGGACGCGTCACCAACGTGTATGCAGTATATAGTGCCTGTAAAATCGAACGTGTGTGTGCGTGCGTGCGTGCCTTCAGTTGTTCCGTCTGTCTATCGTTCACACTGTTTGAGTTGGGTGTTGTTAGAATTCAACCATCATCCCGGTAATGCTACGCGTGAAACTTCTTTGTTTCCAGCTCGGTGTGTTTCCCATTGAATAGGCTCAGAACATTCTTATGGGAGACAGCCATGTGAACCAAGGGAGTTTTGTCAGAATGCCGTCTACACAGCTTCGTGCTTCGTGTTCGATCGGGCCATGGGATGAGCAACGCGGATATTAGATGGAGCCTGTTGATTCGATGGTCGAGGATATTCATGCTTTGGTGTATTGTGACTACTGGGACGTGTTGCATATGTCACCATCAGGGTATTCTTCGATGTGGAATATTTGCGAAGAGAACTGACAGACTATTTACTGTGCTAATAGTAGCAACTGGTGACAGTGCTCCCGTGGTTCATCACATGACCACCATGAAGTCCTTTCAACGAGCACCATCAAAGCTGCTTCACTTCGGTGTTACACACAATTCTCGTATCGTATGGTCCAATCGTTCACGTGAAAATGTCTGGCCCATTTTCCGCCCCAAGGCGGTGAATACGGGAGGAATCTGTATACATGACACACTCCGATGCACTCGTGAACCGTGCCAAATCAGAAATAGTGAATAGATTCTTTACGAATGTTACGTTCACCTGTTATCCTGTGTAGGTCCAATTTGTTAGGGAGAAAGATCTCAGTATTACAGTCCGAGTATACGTGATCAGTGGCTTACACACACGTTCTCATGTATCGAAAAAGATCTTAATGTGAAGGAGAAGAACAGGAGGAGGTGGTGGAAGAGACGAGTACAGTGAGAAAATGGGGGAAGGAGGATTAATGAAGAGCATAATTCCGTCTGCAGTAAGTGATTTGGCTCCGCTGTGGTGCTGTTTCCAGAAGCTGTACAGTGTTTTTCTTTATCAACTGAGAAACCCGAATATACTAAATTAGCATGGTTGTACGTGTGTATGCGTGTTGTTAATGTTTTGATATAGTACAGGCATAGCACTAATTCGCCGGTCCATTGCTCTCTTTTTTCTCCTAATCTGTTGACTACATCTCGTTGATTATATTATATGAGACCACTAACCTCTTGGTGGACATGATGATATAAGGACATAGACTGCCTTATTAGGTGATCGGATGGTTATCCGAACCACTATGTATGATGAACACGGACTCCTGTTTTGTTGCTATTTTATAGATATTTCTCTAATCCGTCCGCAGATGGTATAAGGAACGGATTTATAATAACATTGAAGGCAATAATTGGTAAACACAGTGTGGATATTTCACGGCATCAATATAACAGTTTTTACAAAAAGCAATATGCGTAATTATTATTATTTTTTGTCCGATCATAATTTATTCAGCATCAGAACGACGATGCGTGTGATCGCTGTGAATCGAGAAAGACTCGAACTTTGGTGGGGGGNTCGCCAGACTGTTTGGCATGAACCGATCTCAACAACCAATCTGGTAACACCATACCATTGCCTGTCCAACCAATATGTTCCGATTTAACGATTCGTGTGAAGGTGACACGTTCCAGCCCCCAACAACAATTTCGGATGCTCTCAGTTATTATTGACACAAAGTTTATTTGCTTCTTCCACTGTTTCCCGTTTTTCACGCGAACCGATCAAGCATAACGGTCGGACGACATCGATTGGTGGGTACGTCGATTGGTTAACGATATTGATCTGGTCGCATGTAGCTATTTTTTCTTCTGTTTTTCTTCTCATCATCAGCCTAATGATCAGCATCGTTCTTCTCGTCATCATCCTCTCAACTGTTATTGAACTGTTCAGGGCAGGGAGGTTAGTTCAAGTCCACGTCGAGAAACGCTTTATGCACCCAACTTTTACAGTGGATATCTGAAACAAATCGCGATAAAAAAGACAATATAACAAATTCTATGCGCTAGTAAATGAGAGAAAAAATGGTGCAAGGTATTTACCCTGCGATGGATGAGAGCAGTTTTACGATTAATCAATAACCGGACAAGATATAGAATTACACTATTTCTATATGTGGAAGTACGCACAGGAAGGATTTGATTTTTGGAGCGTATTCGAGGATTTGACAGGGCCTTCGCGATATCTTGGTGCAGACAGTATCCTTGGTCACGTGTTATCAAGCGCAAAGATGTTTGGAAATAAACAAACAACAAACAAAACAGCTCTATCAGCTCCACTGTAGCAGGAAAAAGTGTAAGGAATCTCTAAAATAAAACAAAGTCTTTTTCTTTCAGTCCAGGGATAAAAATCGGGAAGCAGTATAACCAGTATGGAATAATGCAGGCTATCGCAAATTTAAAAATAAGGTTATGTCCTACGGCCAGTTTCCTGAGCCTGTGAGCTGATGACATTAGCAAACCACGGCAGGTTATGGTTTAGGGTGACATCAAGGTATTTAACAGATACAGATTTGGGGATGCTTTGATTGTCAACTATAAGATCAGGGAGATTATTCGCTAATGAAAGATAATGAAGACTGGTTTTAAGACTAAATGGAACTTCAATGCACCTATTGATGTTTATTACAAAGGTTCGAGCACAGACCAATCGTGATGTTCATTAAGGCTGTCCTGGAGAGGTCGAAAACTGTCTGAAGTGACGTAACTGAATGTTTAAAAACGATGGAAAGAGATAACATCGATTCCCTCTGGGGATGTTTGTTTTGAATGAGGAGGTACAATCTGTTGTGGCCGTTTGTTTCCCTCTTTTCTATGCCATTGCTGAGGAAGCTGTATCATCATATATATCGCACGTGTCTGATTCCAGACTGGGACCAAACTAATCTCGTTACTGAAATCTTTATACAAAGAAAATGAATCCAGATTGCCCAGGTCAAAGCTAGTAAAGTCACTTGGGAAAGTTATAACTGGAGCCTTTCGATGGTGAAAGCATGAACAACAAGGAAGGGATGCGGTGTTTGAAAGCCGCAATCCAGCGAGAGCCGGTGTCCGGTTCATCGGATCCAGTACACCTCGAAGCCCGTTCAAGCCGTTGGTCCCTGTCAGAACCAGGAACGTACGTGTGGAGTGCGTACGCCCTTTCTTGATTGATTTGGAATATGGGATTTTAGTCAACTCCCCTACGTGAACTGCTAGTGGTTCATCGAAGGGGGGGGGGGTATCGCCTGGGATGTTGGCTTTTCGTCTTCTCACTTTAGTGGTGGTGAAACACCTCCACCCGTTTGAAGGTTGTGAGCAGGGCTTACTCGGTAGATACTATTTGAGACAGGACCCTTTCGCTAGGTGCAAAGAAATGGCACCCAGTCGAAATCCAAGACATCTGAATCCTACCTTACTGAGTAGTCGATGAACTGCAACCAGCGTGGTAGTTATGGTTTACTTATCCTGTTAATCACTTAAACATGGCCGTATGAATTATGGCACCACACTTAGAGAGTGATGGAACACGTGGAAAGATGAAAAAGGAGAGTTAACTGGCCCAACAGAAACTTATTTGAATTGAACCGTGGTTTGGTTTCCTATACCACCCCCAAGACACTAGTTGTCGCTTTGAAAGTTTCAGTTTACACAAACGTTGACTCTGCTCTTTCGTACGGCGGTTTAGTTGCAGTCTTTCGGCTATCCATTTGGTCTACCGATAAACACGAACTGGATGATTCCGCAGACTAGGCGTTCCAACAGAGTACAAATAAACTGAATCTCTGTACGAAAAGATTTGGTGTACAAGGGTCACCATCGGCGATGCTCATCCATATCACCCATTACGTCTAATTGTCGATTAGATATGTCACGTGATCTCTATGTACGGGAGGTTTTGTGCAACCAAGTTCTCTGCTTAATGTTTAAATTCCCCTATACTACTAGATCGTGTTCGAATCGCTATTGAGTTTCTCGCAACTGCTTTCCGTTTCCACCAGGATTTTTCACCGATGCGTTAGGTTGCAGAGACAGACAGTTGATTCGAGGGACAGAAAATGAAGTCTGTGCAGACGAAATTTCGAACTCTGATTCTGATTACCTGACATACGCTATCAGCAAACTATCGGATCCTGTTTTTTTCTGCTCCATAATCATAACCTTCTATTGTTCGGTTATAGAAACCGGTTTTCGAAGCTCTGGGTGTTGGAGACTTGTAAACCGTGGTAAACGTCCTCAACCGGGATGACAGTGAAGCTGCCTACCATCGGTATTGTCGCTCAATCGAGGTATCAACTCCACAGTGTTCAAAATCTCATTGTTCCACCCCTCAGAACTGATTGATTACTACCATCGAAACTCTTCAACTGACGTGTGTAATTTAGTGTGTGTATGTTCTAACTTATGATGGGGATACCACTTTTTGTTACTACCAGTCCGTGGTGTTTTGGGTGAGATTATTTTTATTTCTTAGGAAATTCATAACTTCTGTATTTTGTTTGAGACATTTCTGTTCACCCCAGGTGTTGTGGGACGGGGCGGAGAAGGGGCGGGATGAGAAAACGTCAAACCGGAACCCGTTCTTTGGATTTGGTCTGAATCAGGATATGAGGGGAATCAGTGCATCTCTCTGTATTTCTTTCCGTCGATCTGTCCTTCTGTGTTTACATCATACATTCTCCTATCCGACGCTGTTTCCTCTCCCTCCTCCGCCACCACTACCTCCTCCTGCTTCTTGTCTGACGGTTATTCGAAAAATCGGTGGCCCGTTTTAGAAACAATCAAACTATTGTGCCCTATTCGGTTGTGGGTTATGTACCGAT